GTTTTTCTATAAAAAATTCAAAAGGTCGAAATTGAATATTTTCTAACATTTGATTTACAATATCTTGTTGATCAAAATCCATCACAAGTGGTCCCGAGAATTTAGTCTTTGTATTAAAAATTTGTTGGTATAGAGATGTAATTGCCACAGAAGAACTTGTACAAATTTCGCTACTTTTTAATTCACAGTTTACTTGATATCTCGGACCAGGTAAATTTTGAGTATCAGGTTTCAAAATAGTAATAATAAAATCATATTTATTAAGCTTGGTAAGAATTTTTATATCTATTCGTATTGGAATTAATGGGTTTGTATTATTTTCGTTATTTCCAGTTGAAATCCACCAGTATTGTGAAAATGGCCCATAATGTATTTTTGAATCGATTTTTCCAATGTCAATAACTGTTGTATTATAATTTTTAACAGTTTTTTTACGATTTGACATGATAAATAGGTACAGTTATTGTGGATTCCGTTTTAGCGATTTAGTTAATAAGATAATTATCCCTGATTAAATATATTAAGATCTACTAGTTGTTACACAAATCACGAATTAACAAATATAATTATAAAATTTTTAATTTTTTAATTATATAGGTACTTCACAATGTATCTTCCTCTGACAAAGACCTCAGAAAATTTCTACTTTCTGAAGATGAATGGGATTATATTCAAGAAATATCTAAAATATTGGAGGTATGTAATTTATATAATTTATGATTTCTGTAATTTATTAAAAATTTAGATAACAATATTAATTTATTTTTTTTAAATAGCATTTTAAAGTAGCAAGTGACTACATAACTGGACAAAAATACCCCACATTATCTTTTTCTGTACCTGTATATAACTATTTATTAGATAAAATAGAAGCTGAATTAAATAAAAATAGAAATGAAACAATAAAAAATGTGTGTAGATTAGCAAAAAAAAAAATCAAATCATATTATCCTACAACTGATGGTGATGTGTATATTATTGCAACTAGTAAGTTTAGTTTTATACATCATTAATATGTTAATATTTTATTTATTATTGTATTAATATCTTTTATTGTATCTTTATTATTATATTAAAGTATTAGATCCTAGACTTAAATTACAATATTATGCTGACAATAATTGGGAGGAGTATTATATTAATGATGCAAAAAGAATAATAATTGATGCTTGGACCAATTATTATAAAAACAATGATCTTGCTATGGTTGTGCCTAATAAACCAGATCCACTCTTGAATCATGTTTTCAAAAAACAAAAAACACAACCAAATGATGAATTAAAAAGATATTTAGGAGAAGAAGTTATAGATAGTGAATTGGATGTATTACAATGGTGGAAGGTATGTTTTTATTAAATTAATAATTAATTAATACATAAAATATATTATTTTACACTAATTTAATTCTATAATATTTATTTTAGAGTTGTGAAAAAATTCCATTCCCTTATCTTAGTAAAATGGCTAAAGATTATTTAGCTATTCCTGCAACTAGTGCTCCAATTGAAAGAGTTTTTTCTGGAGG